TCTGTCTGTCTGTCTGTCTGTCTGTCTGTCTGTCTGTCTGTCTGTCTGTCTGTCTGTGAAATTTATTTTTAATTAGGCTTGGCCTCATTTTCTTTCCGTTCCAAGGACAAGATGTCACGAACCAATCAAGCTGTCAGACAGATGCACAAACAAACGACTATACAGGAGACTAGTGAGTCTTATTCTTATTATTTAGATTATCTCTTAGTTTTGATACTGTACCACGTATAGCTCTTTAACAACTTTTTTTTTAGCGCTTTCTCTTTAATGTCGTTTACTTTTGAATTGAAATCAATGAGTGACATCTGGCAAGAAAAGATTAAAACAAAAAACCCTAAAACATTGGAATTTGACAGAATTACCAAACTTGGCGATACATAATTATGTATTTCATCAGAACAGAACGATACAAAAGCCATGAAACTGCAGAAAGTTTCACTACTGCGTGTATAAACTTTCATTCTACGCTCGATAATCCCTTTCCATATTTTACATTCTGTTTCGCCCCCCCCCCTCTCGCGCCCAACCGCTTTATCTCCCTCTCCCCTCCCTCCCCTTATCCCTTCCCCTTTCTGGATACACTCCTCTCTGCCCCTCTCTCTCTCCCCATCTTCCCCCCCCTCTCTCTCTCTCTTTCTCTCTCTCTTTCTCTCTCTCTTTCTCTCTCTCTTTCTCCCTCTCTCTCTCTGTCTCTATAATAATATGTTTTCCCCTCTCTCTTTCCACCCCCACCATCTTCCTCTACTCTCCTGCCCTCTTTCTACTCCTCCGCTATCTCGATTCACTCTTCTCTCTGTCTCCGTCCCCCCCTCTCTCTCTCGCTTTCTCTCTTTTCTATCTCAACTCTCTCACTCCCTTTCTCCCCCTACTCTCTTCCTCCTTCGTCCCCTCCTCAGCCACAGACCCCACACACCGATGGAGAAAAAGAAGACGGAAAAAGAAAGCCTCACATGACCCCACCTGGACACCAGACCAGTCACATGACTCCACCTGGACACCAGACCAGTCACATGACCCCACCTGGACACCAGACCTGTCACATGACCCAACCTGGACACCAGACCAATCACATGACCCAACCTGGACACCAGAGCAAGCGGACCTGGACAATTCCAACCATACCCAGAATCGGGTCAGTTTTGTAAAAAGGGTTGAGGGATGGGGTAGGAAAGAAGGAGGGAGGGAGGGGGAGGGGGATTAGACGTTGTATCCCACTCAGCCCGGATTGCCTCAAATACTATAGGCAGAGACGAAGCAGTCCTCGTCCTGAACTATCTAAACTACGTCGGTGGGGACGTAAAACGTTTACAATTACAATTTCTTTTGTATATTATTGTAGATGGACGTAACAGTCGAAGTTTCCACAGCTGTGATATCCTTACTATGTTCGAAGCGAATTAACTCGGTCTTTTCCAAGAGGTGTTGTAGTCTAATAAAACGCTGGCTTCAGTTGACATTTTGTTGTTGCTTTTGAGGTGCAGCAGGCAGAAGGTCCCATCGAATATAAAAAAAGACATTAATTACATCTACAGTATATAATCATTCATCATGCCAGACAACTTAGCAATACACATATATTATTTATTATGAACAACAGCAATACCAATTACCACGGCATTAACAACAAACAACAACTACAACAACAGCAACATGAGCAACAATAGCTACAAAAACTACTACAACAACGACAACAGCAGCAGTAACAACAACAACAACCCAAGCAACACGTCTTTTCTATCTTCCAGCAGAAACTCCGAGCGGCGAGGAAAAGAACCCGGCCGCTTGCCAAATTGCCACCGATAGCAGGCCTCACAAAGAGACCCAAAGTCACTGGTGAGTCCAAATAAGGGAATAAGGAATGCCCATTGATCAAACGCAAACTGATATGTGTGATCAGCTCGGGTTGGATCGGTTAGGGTCGGAAAGTGAGGCTTACCAGTGTGGACATTATCTTGTTTATTATTTTTTTAAAAATCCTCTTGTATCATAAGATATCTTGGGGAGGTGCAAATTTCGGTCAAGGGCTAGGTGGGTGGATTTTGTTGTAATTTATATTATTATTCTTTTGGAGGACCTCTTTGACATTAAAAAAGTAAAGTTGTTCTCGCATCCGATCCGGACATTGGGGATTGCATTGTTAGTGAGACAATTTCCTGGGCCTTCAGCATATTGTGGTAGGGTGGCCATTTCCTTTCCACGCCGCCTTTACTTCCCCAACTCGAAGTCAGGTACCCATCACTGCTGGGTGGGCAGGAGGGGGCGAAAAACATTCGTGTTCGAACCGAGGCTCGAACCTGAACTTTCCGCTTCGGAGACGAGCGCACAAACCACTTCGCCTCCGCACCCTCCTTATTGGCACTATCCAGCCAAATTTTGCGTTGTCTACCCTTTGCAGCCTGGTTCTCTTGCGTTTTCTGCTCGTGCAGCTGTTGATCCGAAGTATTTTCATCAGCAGACGTTATCAAAGGCTAATTGTCTGTTTAATCAAATTTGACCTATGTTTGATTTGGTGTTGTCCGGTCCCAAATATCTTGCCCTGAAAGTCACGTGACACATGCTTGCCCTTCTTATCGGCTGTTGGTCACGACTTTCATCAAATTTTAATGCATCTGTTTGTGACCCGAGGCCTACATAGTCAAACACCTGTAGGGGAAAAAAAAACTTGGCTGTGTCAAATGGTTTGGATACATGTAATCTATATCAAAGTTTCTGTTGTGGCACTGGCTTTTACCTTAGGTTACGCTGTCTTTTAATTATGCCATTTG